GGACTTGTACAGCATGTACTAGGCAAGCTGTTTGTTGTTGTCCTTACTGGCTGAAAACGGATTTGTCCAAATGTGTTGTCAGAGTTAACAACCTGCCATAGTTATAGTCACATATTGCCAACCCAACGACCCACCGCCCGCCCTTGTCTAATATTTTGTGCCTGTAAAATTGTCGATTAATTGCTCTCTGTAAAGTAGAGAAAGCGAGTAAATGTATTTGGGAGGTGTTATGGTTGATGTGAGTGGGAGGCGTTTACGATTTCGCAACAGTTGTGATATGCAGTTTAACTAATGTTTCGGGCAATTTGCAGAGTATACGCAGCATTATTTTAGTTGGCAATTGCGCAAGTTGAGATTGTTTAGATACGAACAGTTTTGAAAGCATGAGAAATTAAGACAGAAATCGTCACCCGCTTTAACTCAGCTGAAACGTAAAGTCGTAGTTTTTTTCTAAAGCATGTTTCTTCTGCTTTGATATTCATAGAAAACATATAATAAATTTAATGTTTAGCTGGTTCTTTGTGTCCCGTCCATTGTGTGCAGGGCATGTGCGTGTAATCAATTTTATAACACGATCCTTACAAAAGATCGACGTGTGTTTAACGCGATATTTTGAATAGACGCAAGTTTCGTAGGCCTTTTGTGGCCCTGTGGCCCAACACTTTATGTCTGTGACAATGTCAAACCCATTTTTAAGCAGAAGTGGCAAGCAAGCTGCGTGCAACTTGTGGCAGCCACGGCATAACTAGAGTTACAATAGAATAGAAATGGAAAATGAGAAATTATTTTTTTTGTTTTGTTTTGTTCTTTGTCTTCAGCTGAAGCTGCACCACGAGACGTCTGTGTGTCTGTTGTCTATTGTTGTTCGTGCGGCTCTGGCCCACGTTTTAGGGGCAACTCCTATTGTTAGATCATTGCGGGGACATAGACCCAAGTCTAACCACAGGTGTATGTGCATATAAATCTAGAAATCTATTTAGGCGATGCGTGAGAACTTTTCTTCGCTGAATTTATGTGATTTTCATTTCAGTTGTTTTTCTTTTTCTGATTTGTTTGTTGTGCGGTTTATGGCTGAGCCCTGCCTAAAGTAATGTCCGTTTGCGGTTTCTGGGACAATTGCAAAATTCTAGCTTGGACAATGCCAGCGGCGCTCGCTGTGGGCGGCCTCATGTCTCTGGCGCCAGGACGTGCCATACGGGAATAGAGCAAAACTAAAAAGGCACTCGTATAATTTATAACTTAAATTAAAATAAACTTCTTCTCCTGGAACATAAATATATATATATATTTTTTTGTTGGCGCTTTCGCCCAGTTTTCCGGCACACTGACTTCTCATGCATTTTTAAGCACACATTTGGATTTGCACTGAGTGCTGCTGCAGAGCTCCTCCAGCTTCTTTAGCTCCTGGCCCCGGAATTATAACAAAGCCAGCGACCTCGTCTCGGTTGCAGTCGAATTCTTCAGCCCATGTTTTTTTTTTTTTTTTTGGCTACTTGTAAAATATTAATTTTTATATACTTACAGCGCAGGTGGCACGTGGTAGTTGCCTTTTTGCACTGGAAATTGAAATGTAAAAAGGCGCTTAAAGTGCACATAAAAAATTGAGAAAGGAAATTGCATTTGAGCCCTTCAGTAGGTCACAAGCAGAGCAGCCAGAAACCAGAGCCAGGTCAGCCGAGGTTAACTTCTCATAAATGGGTGCATTCAACTGTGGTTGTAAGCATAGTTTATATGGAGCATGTGCTTTAATCAACGAAAATTTATTGATTTCATTCAATTTTTCGTTTTATTAAACATTAAAATGATGTACAAAGACTAGCGAAATGCAGCCCTAAATATTTGAAAGACAAGCAGGCTTGATAGGTCGTAAAGGATTCCTAAAATCTTATCGGGCATTGGATTTTGGAAATAATTTGGATACATTTTTGTATTTCCCCTAGCGATTGCCTTGCATTATATGCATTTTAATTTGCCAAACTTCACTTCAGTATATTGATTGGTCTCATATTATAAAAGATTTCTAAAATCTTATCAGTCGTTAGAACTTTAAAATAATTTTCACAAACTATTATTTTAATTTTTGACCCAAGCATGACCAGCTTCAATCATTTATATGCATTTAAATATAACAATCTTTATCCCAATATTCGAGAGACATGCAAGGACCTTCGCTTCATTATCTTATCAGGAATTGGGAATTGGATATCTCTTGAAAAATTGTTGCTCTAATTTCTTCCCCCAAGCAATTGCCTTGTATGACCAGCTCCAATCATTTATATGCATTTAAATATAACAATCTTTGTATCCACACCTTTGACCCCACATAGCACCAATTTGTCCCATAGCAATTTTCATAATTTGTACAATACATAAAAAGTGGTTCAAACAAAAGAAATATTATGCGACTTGGTTTTGTGCTAAGCACCATGCGAAACAAATGGCAACAATTTAAAGCAAATTGCCGACTGGACGCCCCATGGCGTCAACGGCTGGGCTCGTGCCGGTGGCCACGCCCCTTTTTACACCTTTGATGCGAGGCGTTGGCAGCGAACAAGGCGTGTGCGCTGCATGTCTCGGCACGCAACTCTGCACTTACAAGCGCCACACCGCGTCCGCATGGCCGGGGCACGCCCAAAAATATTTGAGTCCAATAATAACACCAGGAATATACTTGCTTTAAATTCTCCATGACATTTGATTGATGTGCGCTCCGGACAGCTGCAAAGTGCAAAGTACATATATGAAAAACCCCGGCGCTATCAGCTGTTTTAGCATTCCGTGTTCGCTATCCAAGGGTAATATTTAATAAGGGGACTTATTTAGTAAGCGCATTTCATGGGAAAGCTGCGCTGATAGCACAAACGACCGCGAACCTATTCTGACAGCAAAATACACTCCCAATGGGTATAGGCAATAGTTTGGACTGTATGTGGCTCTATGAAATCGCAAAAATTTATATTTTTAAATAAGAAATACAATCGCAATTAAAAAAGTATTTTATTATAATAAGAACCGCTAAATGGCCATCCGGTAGTATAAAATCAAAATAACAAATAATAAAAAAAGAATACTAAAAAATAAAATAATAAAGAAAAATCTATAATAATTATTTAAACTATTTAGAAATTAAAAATATTGCTTAGGCTATATATGTTACTTATAAATTAGCAGATTTTATTTATAAACATATTGCATATTCAAGGGTATTTCTCTTTTCGTTGTGCTTAGACAAACATTTCTAATACATTTTTGGGCCAATTTAAATATGCATGAGCGTGAAATTTTGCACGAAAATATGTCACTAAAACCATCAGCAACAACAGCAACAACAAGAATAATAATAATAACAACATAAGCAACAACAGCAACAACAATTATGACAACCACCCATTCCCGAACCGCTTTGGCACAAGTGTTGGGTGTTTAGCCTAATGACATTTGCCATCGTAGCGCCTGTTGTGGGTTGGCTGAGGCGGGAGTGGAGCGGCATTTTCATGTGGAATTTGTCATGTGTCAGTACGACTTAAATGCCGAGAAAATATTTTTTATTTTTTTTTGCGTTTCTTGGACTGGCACAATAAATTGTGCCGAGCCGTGAGCCTCTAATGGACTTTGATAAGGTGGCAACGGTAACCGGCAAATTTATGCAAATCCGCATTTGACCTAAATTAGCACGAAAATTTGTTAGATTAGGCGCATTTCATTTCCTTTCTGGAGTAGCCGAAAAACAGAAACGCCACGCTAAAAATATCACACTTCCCCATATCGGCTGGCTGGCATTGGGGCTGCTTAACTAGGCAAGGGGGTAGCTTTTAAGAGTACCATTTCGATGGTCTGAAATGGCAGGCAGCTTACAAGCCATAAAAATTGCATGTGTGCATGTAAAAGGCAAGCTCTGGACATGAATGGGAACATTTCTGGGTAGCTTTTAAGTGCAACTCTTTGTATACAACTTCCGTTTGGCGTGTGACGTTGGCAAGAAATGCAAATTTCTGCACATGCTCCGCACTCCAAGCCGGAATCATAGTCGCAGCCGGAGTCGAGAATCGGAATTGAAGTCGAGTCAGCAAGCGCACACGCATTCCATTCCATTAACTTTATCAATGTAAATCACCGAAATGTGCTGGACGCCCGACTGGCCCCATTGTTATGAAAGAAAGGAATGTGATAGTACAAACGATAAAACAAGTGCGTGTTGGCGTGAGGAGTGCGGAATGTTGAAAGTACTCATAAAAGCAAGACATCGGAATCAGCGAAATGTGAATGTGTACTGGATACACTTGCTGAGGAGCACACAGGACAGGGAAATGGTAATGCTCTATATGGTAGGACAACAATACCTATTCATAACTCGGCAATCACTTATATGATCTCTATGAAAATTTGAAATATTACTTGAGAGATTTTAAGTTTTAGATAACATTTCTCTTGTAATTATTAACTTAATAAGTCTTTATTGAACAAGAAATGTATAGATTGCATTTCACTTTTTATTTCTACACCGACGGATTGGTGGAAGCATACAATTTTTTTAAATATAAAGATGCAAATTGGCACGGACAACTCCGGATTATGCCCACTATGTATTTATGTTTGCATGTGTGTGTGTATGCATGTCTGTATAATGTATAATGTATGTTACTTAACATTTTGAAAAGGTCACCACGCTACACTGCAAATTAATAAACATATTCGCCTTTAATATGGCCCTACTATGCGATTCTCATGAACATAAGTATGGCTTACGATTGTTGTTGCTTCTTGTCTGCTTTTACACGAACTCCAATTTCTCTCTCTCTATTTGTCTCTCTCTTCTTCTTCTCTCTCTCTCTCTCTCTCTCTCTCTCTCTCTCTCTCTCTCTCTTTCGCTCTCTTCTTCTTTCTCTCCCCCCTCTTTCTCTCCCATATCTCTCTTTCAGTTTTTCTCTACCCCTCTCATTTTATTCCTTTCTCTTGCTTTTCCTGTAAATAACTTACTCATAACATCTATTTTCTTTCAGTGATTTGGATTTGTCAAAGACTTTTCTTTCTACTAATCGATGGCAATTTAAAAAATCATGCATGGGTATGTGAATTTCTGGGTAAGTGAATACTCATATTTACATATCTATTTTTATATAAATTAATTTATTCTGTGTACTAATGCTTATGTTGGGGCAGTTCAGACCTGGGAACGGGTTAGCTTCTAGCAATACATGTTTTCCAGAGCACAGAGCTAGGTGACACATTACAAGTTTTTTTAATAAATCACAATTTGTGCCATTTTAAAAACTCCCTCTAGACGTTTTATTCATTTTTCTCGTCTTGCCTGCTCCTGTAAATTATGTGTCAGGCGTGAGAACCTACAACTCGGTAATTGTATACGAGGGCGTCTCTTGGCAATTTTCACTGCATTTTCCTTGGCACCCCAACAAACCATTAGCATGTCAAATGCAACCCCAACACCAACCCCTCACTTTGAGGTGCTATGTAGAGCAAATCCCAACTTCAATCCTTTGGCTGTCAAGCCTAAAAATAACATTTTCTTTAATTTGAACAAGAATAACAGGCGAGCCAAAGACTTTAAGCGCCCTTTGACAATTTTCACGTCAACTACAAATCCCGCACGCAGATAACATGGGCCAGACACAGGCCACCTAAAGAAAAAGAATATTCCCAGCCTTGCCTCATTTGGTTGGAGCAAAATGAAAGAAAAAAAAAAGATGAAAAATAAATAAATTTACATACATGTGCAGCATTCAACGAAAATCTGTCCCTGCCTGCCGCCTTTATATTATATCTGGTATATACAAAAATAAACACAATTTATCTCGACTTTTTGCTCAGCTCAGCTCACGACTGTTTCAGTCTCTCTAGAGGCATTGGATATATATACTCCTTTATCGTGTATATACAGATATATATATATGTATATGTAAAAATATGAAGCGGAAAATCAATGACAGCAGCCAAGCGCCGCTGCTTGCCACGTATTTGGAGTTCGGTTGGAGTTTTGAAGTGGAGTTAAATTACTTTTGGATGGGTGTTGTGGGTCGGCTGGTATGTAAGCATGGGTACTCGCTCGTATCTATACGGGTGTGCACAGTGCGTTCCTATCTTTGTATGTTTTATTGGAAGTTATTCCCAGTTATCCCACAGTTTCGGCTGGCGCTGATGGCCGGCTCTGACTGTTTGTCCATCTGTCTGTTAGCTTGTCCGATTTGACTGGCAGCGAATGAAATATGGTTTTTGCCAAAAGCAACGAAATTTTGTTCAAAATCAGTCAGAGATGGAGAGAGGATGAGAGTCAGACAGAGAGCGGAAGATGGGACATTCGGAAAGGTGTTGGTTTAGCAAATTGCCTTCTGATATTCGGCAACTTCTGTTGCCTATTGATTTTTAGCCTGTCACAGCTTTAAAGTGTTTCAAGTTCTTCGTACTTTAACGTTAAGCAATCAAATTCAAATTGACGCTCCAATTAATGGGCTACCCCTATGCCAAAGATTAGTCCATTAATTTATGGCCAAATAATGTAAATTTCACTACACATCAGACTTGATGATTGTTATTGATGAACGATTGCGTGACTGATGCTGCGCCCCTTCACAGCTAATTAAATTCTTTTTTATGACTTTGTTGCTGCAATTAAATGATTTCTAATTGCTGTCAAGCAAATTTTCTTATGGGCTCAACTCACATTTGATTTGGTGATTTATTATGCCTTTGGACTTTGCTTATAATTTGTCATATTTTCCGCAGCATTTGATAAAGATTTATTATGACATTTCCTTTGTTGTCGAAAATTAATCATTGCACATAAACTTATTCATACAAACATGAACCAAGTTTTCTTTTATGTTGGGCATTAATGCAGCTAATCAAATCAATGTCCGATAAGTTCGAAAAGAGGGCCTGAATATTTCTGAAGCCTATTCTATGTCATAATTAGGAGTGTATAAGGGTACATGAAGTTAAATAACTCAAATTTGAGTTAACTATTTAGCGTGTTGAGGTTCAAAAAGCTAAGCTCCAAAATATTGTTTAAGGTTTTACCACAATTTTTGATGAAAGCTGCGATTATTTTGCGTTGCCTTGAATGTTGCCTTAAATGAATATGATTAAATACTTATTAGAGACATGTTTTGGTTATATCAATAAAGTTAAGCTGCGGGCTTTAAGTAATCTTTTGGGCTATTCACTTATGGCTTATGTCATACTTAAAGCTCAAATACTTTTCCTCAATCGCCCAGGGCATTCGTTGCATGCCTAACCCAATTTTTGACAACTTGTCGCACACGAAATTATGCAGAATATCAGCATAGAAAGTTAATCAATGAAATTACATGCAGCATCAGCACGAAATTTGCCTTAGTCATTGCCACACACACATATACATATATTGATAGACCCATCCAGATACACATCCCACATAGAGGTCCCCAAGCAATCAGCTTAGCACATTTGATTTTTGCCACGCCAGCGAGAAGTTTGAAAAAAAAAAAAACTGCACGTCACATGAATGTTCATTATCGATATGTATTTGTATATAGAGAGCGAAATATATATGTCGTAGTTAAATTATCGCCTGAAAGAAATCATCATGATTGACAATTGACAGTTGGGCATTGGATTTGTCTGGCTGGCCGTGAGTTTTGCTGGGGACGATGCTGCTCAGCAATCAAGCAGCAAATTTTCTTTATTTCCTGCACGCCGCGGACAGTGGTCAGTTTTTATGGCAGCTGTATCGAGAATTGAGTTTGCCGTCTTATCAGTCCCATGACGTGCGGGCTGCCCCACAGCTGACCAGCGGACCTCTGGACTAAGGGACACTGGACCATCATAAACTGACCATCACTTTGATTTTCATTTCATGGTCCTACGTGCGTGTGTCTGCCATTTATTGCGCTGGCCTGGACAGACTGGAGACTGGGGACTGGGCTGTGGACCCTTTCCTAATTTGTTTTCTATTTGGTACTAATTTCTTAATTTAGACGTGGCTGTTTATCTGGTCATTGAGTTTTTCAGTGTGTTAGGCCCGGATCGATGCTGGTGCCCATTGATTGGTTTGTGTGTCTACGCGTGTGTGTGTGTGTGTCTTTGGGAGTGTGCGCCCAGTTCCCAAGTTGGTGATAAAACTTTAATTTTGTTTGAATGAAGTGGGCAGCGTTTCCATTTATTTCGCTCGCCAGCTCTGATGAATGGGCAGCCAAAGTGGATTAATTTAGATAATGTTTAATTACTGAAATTGTTTTGTAGTTTCAAGCTGTCTATCGAGATACATCATGCTGCTGGTTGTTATAAAACAAACTGTTGTAAACAAACATTTATTTTAACATTTAGTATTTAGGTATAGAATTCGAATAAACAAGCTAGAGCAAATGCTACACTTTCTGCAAGAATTATATTAAATTTGTTGTTACACCTCTGCAATGGCAATAGACCATAGACCATACATCATAGGTAACTTCTTATGAATCGGCCTTGTTCTGGCTAAGTTTTTTTTTTTTAGATTTTTCTTACATTTAAAATTTCTGTTAAAGCTTTGATTTCCCATACAGCCTTTTCAATATTTCCTAAGCATTTTTGTGCGGCGTGCTGCTTTTCCTCTTCTTTATAGTAGACGAAATCCACTTGATACTCTATCTGCAAGTTTGGCTTTGTTAAAATCAGATGGCAAAAGCGCAGTGAAAATTTTTAATTAAAATCCACAGACACACCCACAGGTATTCAAGAGCGACAGCTACGCCAACCTCAATCCCCACCCAACCCCAGAGCTCGTCGCAACGCATATGCGCTGAGTATTTACCTGGAACGTGAGCCAATTATCAGGTAGAGTAGAGAAAATACTTGAGCCTTGCTTCACTTTTGTCGACACTTGATTCCTCTTTCGCTCTTTCACTCGGTGCTCATTTGCTCTTTCTCCCCACTCTTTACTCTTTACAACCGAGTGCAATCGAAGTTATTAATCTGATTTTTCAAATCGCATGCAAGCAACGTCATCAAGACGACGGTCGATGGTCGGCATCGCCATCATCATCGTCATTATCATCATCATCTTATATAAACAGGAACGCGCCCTGGCTGCAATTTCCATTTATAACCCAACTAAGCCGCTTATCTGGTACCCAAAATCCCGACAAATTGGCTGCAGAGCTCGGCTCTGGCTCCGGCTCCGAATTGAAAAGACGACAATGCAAACGTCAAAGTTGTAGAAGGAGACAGACGTTGATTGGGTTGCCCTGGGCTTTGACTTATGTTTGGGGTATGGCCCGAAATTATAAAGAATTACGATTTTGATTGACAATTTATGGCGGTGCCTGTCAGCGCGAGAAAAAATAAGAAAAACTCAAATAATACCCATAATACGCGTTAGTTTCTAGTTGCTGTCAAATCGAACTATCGATTATGACTCAATTTTTTCAGTTTTTGTGGAAGCTGTCAACAAAAAAAAAAAAAACCCGGCTACTGTGTCCAGTTTTTTGAGGGATGCGGGCTTACTTATATGTTATATCAGTCTACCTAGCTATCCCTACAATTATTGACTGCTTTATTTATGAGATTTTACAGAACGCAGGATCGAATCGCGTTCGTTGCGAGTCGCGTGCGCGGTGGTTGAAAATGCATTTCAATAAAAAATTCTGTGAAAAGGCAAAAGTTAATTGTCTGACAACAAAAACGAATACAACAACAACTAGAACAAAAATCATCCACATTCATTTATCATGCTTAAAGTTTGCATAGAACGTGTGCAAACAATTTACCCAAGAATAGAAGTGCGATCCGATGAAAAGAATTCCATTTCAGGGCGTGCCAAAAACGCACATTGAACGGACACCTTGGGTGGTATCAGAGAAATAAACAAAAAAATACGAAAAAAATGGAAAAACAGAGAAGAGAAATCAGAGAACAGCGAAAAAAATAGAAAACAAACAGCGGGTGGTCACTAATTTTTTACGTGACTGGGTGAGAGAAAAAAAACGCGAAAATCAGCGCCAAGGCGCCAAAAAGTATGCAATGCCAGACAGAAATCAAAGAAATGAACTTTTGTAGTAGTCGGCTATTGCGATTCCGATTGCCAGATTGCCCCCATCCCCCACTCTTCTTCTTCCTGCCTGGTCATATAATTGAAAGGGCGTGCGGCGGGAGGAAGCGAAACGTGCAAATTCCAAGAGTTTCCTTCAAGTAGCAGCAAGAGGTTTGCATGAGAACTACTTACAAATAATATAGATCGTAAAAAATTATAGTGTGCTATAAAACTCCGTTATGATTGATATGTCTTAGATAATATATAAAGGTATATGTCGAATGCTTTTCAATACCGCCGGATTGGCTCATCAAAGCATCGATTCAAAGCGATTGTAAAAACTTAATAGTAGCAAATATAAATCTAAAATTTATATCTTTATGATTGTTCCTTTGTTCTTTAAATCAATCGCTTAGCTGCGCGATAAAAGCCAATATGGTTTAGGGTCTTAATATACTTATAATAACTTTCTATATCTATAAATCTGTTTGTCCTGACTTTCCGATTAATTAATGAAGCACAACTGAAGCCGTAAAAGCTATTAAGTTGAGTATTATTAGTTTTGTGAAATTCCACCCGTGAGGTTGGAAAATACGCCAAAAACTTTTGTATGAAACTATTTAGTCTGCCATCCGATCGGCCTCAAACTGATTTTCAAAGATCTTTGTTCGAATTCATTTGAGGGTTGTTTCACACTTTTCAGAATATCCATTCCACCTTGGTGGAAATGGGGGTCAAAGATATGTTTGATGATGTTTCGGGCCCAAATTCATTTCTTTGTGAAAATCATGTTGTTCTTTTATAGATTTAGGTGAAAATGTTGTATAAAAAATTTTAGGCACAAGATTTGCCACGGTCAATGCCCGCTAGTATTATATATATTCTTCGAACAGCTCTCGTTATTTGATGCTTTTTCTTACTATCTATGGGCAATGCTCCACTGGCCAACTCTCTGCTTGCCTTGTGCAGCTCTGTTGCTGTTCCGGCTGTCAACCCGTTTCCTGCCGCCAATAATTAAAGTAATTGCTACATTTCTGGCACTTGCCCCTGTAGACTCTAACAGGCCGAGACAAAGAAGCGAGCGAGAGCGAAGTAGAGCTGGGGAGATAGACCAAATGCCACTCAGATTCGTAAGACTTTGCCAAAAAGGAAACTATTTTAAAAAGGCAAAACTACTTTGGTTTTAATTGCAACTATTCAACTATTCAACTGTCTGACTGTCTGCGTGTCCTGAGTACATTGTAGTTTTGGACCGCTGCTGATGTGGCCTGAGTGTAATGTCCTTTTAGGGTCCTGCAGTTACAATGTGCTTCCGTTTGCATGCGACTGCGTTAAGCTGCTTAACTTGCGGCTCAGTGGGCGTGGCGCCAAGCCCCAGGGCCGGCCCAGTGCCCAGGCCCACGGAATGGTGCGTGTTAATGATTCCTTGAGCTGCCATTTGTGGCCTGATCCTGCTCTTTGGCGGGCTTGGGGCACGTAAAAATCAATGTCACTGCGTTGTTTGCTGTTTGTTTTTGGTTAACATTCCTTGGTTCCGTTTCCGACCGCACTCGCAGCTTTCCTTTCCCTCGCTCTCGCACTTCAACAGTGATTTTCCCTGTAGCTGTAATAGCAGCCGCTGCAATTTGCTGCGCTATGCTGTAAAACTTTTGCGGCAAAAACAAAAAGTTTTTCACTTAAACTTCGCCGCATTGCTGCAGTAAGTCCAGAGTCCTGCACTGCCTTTGCCTGCATATTACACACTCTTTTCTCAGGGCATCACATAACTGGCATGTTGTTGGACCGAAAGCCATATAGAACCAAATCTATTCGAAGAAAATAACATAATTTAATCGATAGATAGGTTTATGTCCCAAGTTGGTAAATAACTGAAATATATATTCATATGAATTTTCAAAGAGTCTATCATATATTTAAAGTATTAATTATAAGCATATTTCAATCTTATAAGTATGTGTTTGCAGGGTATCTTTTATCTTTGCTTTCACGCCATCGAATAGCTGCTTATGGTGTATTTGATATTCGTTGAGTTTCTGTCAACTCGGGAATATTGTTGCTCTCGTGATTATTCCCACGTTGGTTCCGGGTTGCCTCTGGGCTGGCGCACCACTTAAAATTTGTTTAAACGTAAGTGGTTAATTATCTTGAACGTTTGCGTGCCACGGCCACAGATAGTGAGAGCTACCGTATGGAAGATACACCTCATGCACAACCCTAACCTCCCCTTTACACACACACTATAACATACTGTCATGTGTGTATATGTGCACCCCTATAATTAGTTCTCATAATTTTATATCACTGCGTATGAGAGCTCTCGTGTTACCGTCACTTTTCGTAAAAAATATTTTCAACTCTCAAAATGTTTCATGTTTTCCTACTGTCAGTTGTTGGCTGAAGAGAACAGAACGTTGGGTAGGAGGGAGGGGACCCGCATGAAAGTTGTTTTTATCATTTCGAAAATTAAAACAAAATATTTACATTTGCAATAAGTTGAATGCTGTGTGCCACTCGGCGACTCTGTCAGTCAGTCAGTTGGCTAGTCTTTTAGCTGGTTTCTCATTCTCTTGCATTTCATTAGAATCGGCCAATTCCTTCAGGCGGGTTTTTTTTTATCAAATTTTTACCAACTACGTTTTTGGCTAGCTAATTTTTGCTGAGTTTCTTTGTTGCTATTGCAGTTTTTGACAACTTGACGAACACTTTGAATTATGCATAGTGTCTCGGTTTCGTCTATGCTACAGTTCGTTTTTTTTTTTTGCATAACAATGCAGAGAGCTTTGGAGCATCTTAATGTTATACCATTGTCTAGGAACAGAGCGCACAAAATGCTAATGCTCATTTGCATTACAAGTTGTGGGTAGAAGTTATGTAGGCGTCGCTCCATAATAGCAAAACTAAGTCTTGGCTTATGAAATTTATCCAAGCTATCAACTTTCGGTAGTACAAAAAATAGTTTAAGGATACTTTAATAAAAGTAGAAACTAAAAAACTGATTGAATATTAAGCAATGATTTTATCTGCAACAGAGTAATAAAAGGTAGTTTAGAAGCTTGGGCAATATTAAATATGTATAATATTATAAATTAAAGATCTGATACCCTTGTAGACACTTAACTTTTCAAGATATGTTAGTATAGTGCAGCTCGTAAATGCGGAGTTAGTTGAAAATATCTAGGAAATCAGAATATTTTGCCACATAAGAACCCTCTTTTTGACCGATTGGTCCGATGTTGATAAGATGTTGATAGTGAAACTATATATATCTTATAATCTTATTCGAAACAACTTCCTGCAACAGAATGTCGTACCTAAGCAAAGTATCAAGACGATACCTTTAGATTTACACGCAAATTTCATCCTATAAATACTCCATTAGCTAAGAAAACCCCTTTTATTAATTTATGACCACATTATAAATATCTCAGATGCAAAAAAAACATAATTTAATTATACATAAAAACTGTATCATTAAGAGACGCCCATTTAATCAGCTAAAAAGCTTTAACAGCTGCTTCCTGCTTATAGTCATAGGCCTTAATATCTTTCAACTTGATCTAGGTGCTGTGGCAGCCATAAAATCATATATATATATATGTGTATATAAGGCATATATAATAATAAACTGAGCTTGGGAGCTGCTCAAGGGACTCTTAATAACTTAATTAACTTCAACGGCGCGCAGATAAGAATCAAGCGCAAAAATTAACAGCGAAAATCTGCAGCAGAGGCCAATAAAAGTGCGTCAAAAGGGCGAAATAAATAAAAATGAAATCAAGAGGAGAGCATAAAAAATTAAGCAATTACATGCACGCAGGATACGCCGGATACGTCAAAATGACAACAGGAAATGCACAACAGCATTTTATTTGCGTCGTTTTTTCATCACGAGGCCACAGCAAGCGACAAGCAGCCAGAGAAATTCAAAGAGACCTCCAGAAATTAAAGCGACAACTGACAAATAACCAAAAAAAAAAAGACGAAAAAGAAGAAGAAGAATATATATTAATAGATAGAAGCGAGCGAAGAAGTTGCGTGTCTTAAATTTGCCATAAAAGTGTCACACCAAAAGGCCAGAGACGGACAAGGACATGCGTGTCTTTTGTTTTTATGCGCCACGCCCCCTACAGCCAACCCCACCGCCCTACAGCCATTAAGCTTGACGAGAAATGGCAGACGGCGAATGCTTGAGGTTAGGTTCATTTGCTCTAAATCTTTTAAATGCCTTTATTTAGACTAAAAGCGTCGAGCAGACGTGACGTGGAGGGCCAGGGTGCGGGAGATGGGAGTCGGAGGAGTCGGGGGAATCGGGGGAGTCAGCCAGAACGTGGCCCGCCTGTCAGTTTAATGTTTAGCATTGGAGGCTAAATTCGT